GCAATTTTTTCATTATGAGGGTGGTCAAATACTGGAACGTGTTGCCCAGGGAGGTGGTGGAGTCTCCATCCTTGAAGACAGTCTAGACTCGATTGGACACAACCCTGAACAACTTGTTCTAGCTGGCTCTGCTTTGAGTGGACGGTTGGAATTGATGAACCCCGGTCCCTTCCAACCTTAATGTTCCATAATTCTGTATGTTGACTTTCTTTCTTTCTTTCTTCTTTTTCTACTATGGAAAATGAAAAAACTTAACCTATGAGCAAAAGCTGAAGGAGTACCTGTGTGCATGTGTGTGGGTAGTTAAGCCAGACATAAGAAGATTGAAAGAAATACTGTGTGCAAAAGAAGAAAAGAATAAGCCTCTGAATCTACCAGACAAAAGGCTGTGAGTAATGGATATAAAATTGCAATAAGTAACGTTTATGTTAGTCATTAAGGAAAATTTTCAAATGGCAAAGGCTCTTTATCACTGAGATAGACTGCCCAAGATTTTTAAAAACAGATTAGATACACTTTGTCAGGTGAGGTTTTAATACATTTGTACAATGTGGATTGGCTTAAGTACGTTCTTGACGTCCCTTCCAATTTTGTTTCAATTTAGCTATTAATTTTTTGTTAGACAATCCCATGAATTAAATATTCTATACTTACATAAGTCAAAAAGTCCTTTACTAAAACTGAGCTTCACCATATTTTAATTCAAAGTTTTACAAATAAAGTACTTCATTTGACAGATAAGTCTATATATTCACAAAAATATGAAGCTTTACACTATCCACTAGCAGGTTCTTACAAGAACAATAAAAAAAATGCTAAAATGGCATATTTAATAGAAAAAATATAATTAAAATTGATACATAAAGGGTCAGTTCATAATAAGAACAGTTTTATACATACATACCATCAAATACAATTTATAATTTGTTGTCCCTAAACAAAGAGGTGTTCAACAAACTTCTTGATAGTTAAGGTTACTGTATGAGGTTACTGTATGTCTTTTGTTCTTTTATTGAAAATTAAAAGATTATCCTAGCTTTCAAACTGAGAGGATACATCTAGGGGAAAGGTTTTCTTTTTTTTTTTTTCCCAATAAAACTTAAGCGAATGAATCAAGATTTATGAACTACAGTGCTATGGAAACAGAGGTATTATTTGCTTAACAAACCAAAATATTTTTGGTCACTGCTGACCAGATACTTTATTTTCTTAATAGGAACCCTTTTCCTTGCTGATATAGACCTCAAAATGAAAAACATAACTAGAAACACGTTCAGAGGGAATGAGATAAGCTTGTCAGCAAAAGGCTTTACTCTGCGGATCTTCAAAAACCTTTGATGAGAGGGATTGTTGAAATGGTGCCGGAGAGCTTAGAAAATGAAATGACATCTTGCATTCTGGTGAATGCATGGTAGGAGAACTTAAAACTTCATCTCCTAAAATAAGGCATTGAACATTTTTGGTTTAGAAATTTGAATGTGCCAGCTCCCATTCCTTCCATTATTACTAGCACTGCTACAAAAGCTAAGCTTCTGAGTTCTAGAGTATGTCCCCATTGTGTTAGGCACTGCACAAACACAGAAAGGAAAGATCCTGCTATTATTCATGGTCTGTATCAGCAAACCTCTGCGCTCTCTGGACTTCAGTAAGTTGGCTCCATGTGAAGAGAAGAGTCAACTGCATTCTGGCAAAGTTATTATTCGGTCCTTCCCAGCAGTCTTTACAGAATCAGCAACATGTCATGTTGAAGTAGAGGGAACAGAAAGGATACTCTACAGTAAAAGATAGGAAGCCAATGCAATGCTATGAACATAGTGTATGATTACCTTCTATGAAAATGCATTTCCATATTTGTGCTAGTTTTCTAGCTAATGTTTTCTTTCCAGAACCCTTAAAAGGAAAAATACACATTTGTTTAAAAGCAAAACATCATGAAGGAAAAAAAGAGTATTATTACACATTAAAAATTATTTCTTTGTATTGTAACAACTAAAAGCTACCATCAGATTAGGGCCTCTGAGAGGCCTCCAGAGTTATACTCTGGAGAAACACAAACATTCTTTTTAACATCAGCCTCTATTATATACTTCATAGGATTGCCAATAGACTGTTACTGCCCTTTGCAGTGGAGTATTTCCAAATTAATTATGCTGACCTTGTTTCTGAGTAACTCCGTTTAAAACTCATCTATGACTTGTTTGTAACTTCCTATGAGATGCTCTTTAGGACTGAAATTTATTATCTTCAGTCTCAAAGCAAAAAACGATGAAAACCTGTTCAGTCATATCTGAATGAGATGCATTCTTCAACTAAAACCATAAATACGTAAAAATTGCCATTAATCCTCAGGAATCAACATATGCCAGTCTGTTTACCCTAGATAAATTCAGTGATTAAAAAATACTATTGGAAAAAAAAGAAACCACACACACACACACTGCCAGTTAACACTGCGTCAGAAAATGTCCAGCCTAGTCATAGCTTGAATCTTATAGGTGCAGCAAAAATTTATTTATTTGGTTTTGCTTTGATATAATTGTTTCCAGAGCATTGCTTTTAGCTTAAAAGAAATAACTTAAAATAAGATAGATGCTCTACACATCAGTTACATAAATAAAATACATTACCATAAAAATGGAATGCTTTATTTCTTGCCTTCTGAGCCAGGACTGTGCTTTTTCAACCCTTCATTAAAATTTGTAAACTTGTATCAAGTATTAATATCAAGCATTTAGTGGAGGGCATGTTTTCAGATGAGGATATCTATTTCTTACTTATTTCTTTGCATTATCTTTCAGTAAGTATTTTATGCTAGTTTAATCTTTAAAAATAAGCTACTTTTTTCACATAAAGTTAGAAATCTGAGGTTTGTTTAAAACTAGGCAAGCCACTGTACTGTAGTTTTCCATGGAGCTTTTAAGTCTCATTCTGACTGTAAGACTTGCTCATCAGCTGTCACCTTATGCTCTCTCACTGTGGTGCTTTTATCTCATGCACTTGCAGAACAGCAGCCTCAGTCTGGTCAGATGCAAAAATTTGCAGTCAAGTACTGCTTAACAGTGGGGGCCAAGGAGTAAGAAAGGATGCAAAACTGCAAAAAGTAGGAAGTGAGAGCCTTCCACCCTGCTGAAAGAAGTCTTTGAAGAAGGAATATGTTGTCAGTGCAATGGCTATTCTCCCTTACATAACTTGCACCTTCACCCGACTATACATACTGGCATACCACATCACAGAGGATGGGTCCACATTAGCTTTTGGTGTGGTGCAAAGAGAGCGGGACTGGGGCTTGATCTGGCGAGTATACAGGCATTGAAGGTTGTGTTGGTTGTCAGTTCTAGGTGCACACACCACTTATCTCCGCCTGATATGTCATGCAAGCATATTTCTGTATGGTCATTTCAGATTGTGTTGTGGAACCAGGCAGAATCACACATATACAGAGGGCAAGCTGCTGTAGGATCTTGCATTCACATTGGAAGTAGGGCACTTTGAAGGCACTTTTTTTGGCAACTGCAACGCTCAAGAGGAAAACCACTTTCAGTGGTGTATTTGAGTGCCCACATGACTCAGTAGAGGTGCAAGGCAAATTTGCACCTTAGAAGAACCCCCTTCAGCACACTAAGACACTAATGTAAAACCACCCATAGAGTATCCTGTATTTGAGAAGAAAAAGTTTGAGAAGTCTACGCTCAGAAAACATCAACTTGTCTTAAGCCAAAGAGACTACACTATCTGAGAAAAAGAGAGACTTTGAATCATAATTATAACATAGTACAAATCTCCTCATCAGGATACCTTGATGGATTTCAGTTATTCCCAACTAAATGATATACAATTGCAAAGTTCATTTCAATATTTAATACCTCATCGCATGTCTGTAACTCAGTACATGTACTTCAAGGTTCTTTTACATCTATTTGCTCCTTTAATTTGTCAAGTATTTTAAAAATTGAAATACTAGCAACATAAGTAACATAAAAGCAGTCCTGTTGCCAATATGAAAAGAGAGAAAACTTCTTGAGCAAGCTGTGACTTTTAATTACAGCAGTATCACTTTTAATTTTAATTGGCTGCTCACAAAATTTCTTCTACCAAAGTAGGCTCATTAAGATAACTGAATATTCATTTAATAGGGGAAAAAACCCAATTCCTCATGTTATTGATCCCGCAAATGCAGTTCTCCTAATTATCTCCATTCGCTGAAATGAATCAGTAACTGATGCTGAGAACTGCAATGTCTTCAATTCCTCTGTTTTAAATGAGATCAGAATCCATACAATATTTTGTAGGATTTGCAAAGTGGAAAAGACAAAAAGGTAGTTCCTATCTTTTTGGCAGTACTACTAAACTAATGTTTTGAAAGGAAAAGTAAAATTATTAGCAGAATATCTGAGGGAAAAAAAAGCTTCTATCAGACATCTTACTGGCTTTCCAAGGACAATGAAGCAAGTAGGCTTGGACAACAGAAAGGATTTTTCAGCTTCATCTTCATCAAAGATGTCCACAAAGGGCTGAGCTTGTTTTTCCTGTTGTGAAGCCATAACTAATCTAAGTTTGAGAGAAACAAAAGCTTGTCATAAAATACATAGTAGCTTACATATGTGTAAATGACATATACTTAAAAATTGAACTGAGTAATGATGTGATACAAGGAGAATTACTTAGTAAGAAAAGTGATTGTTAGAAGAAAAAGCAGATACTGAAGGAGTACACTAAGGAGTATTAAGGAGGAGTCACTTCTGAAAAAGATGGTATATCAGAATCACCCCAATCCCCAGCTGCAACTCTACTGACATGTTAATGATGACTTCCTCCTTTCTTCCTCCTGACTCTCAGAGCTGTAGCTCTTTTTCAAACAGCATCTACTTGTTTCATTGCCTTTTTCTTTCTTACGTAATCACAGCACCCTTGTAACCTCTCTTTGGTCCCAGAAACAGACCACGGCCCTGCAAAAACATAGTCAAGTGAGCATCACACACACTGCAGCCCCAGCACTGTCAATGGCACTACTTGCTATATCCAAAGCTAGGTATATGAATAAAAGTTTGCAGAATTAAATTATGGTTCATGAGCTGTCCTGTGATCCTCTTGCAAATCCCAGCTCTTCCAGGACTTCAAGAGAGCCCACCTCCAGAGCTATGCAATAAAGCAGAACAGAGATAACATTCAAGCTGGAGCAGAATTTGGATGGCTCTTTAAAATAAGTAGAAATAAAATCCAAAAATGTGAAGGGCTTGATGCAACATGATTCAAACAATGCAAAACACAAAATTGCTGTTTTCTTTAGAGGGCCACTTCACTCTGAAAAAAATTGCTGCCTCACCCCCTCCCCCCAAGTCTTTTTTAAAATAAGAAATTCCACTTCAGGATGAAAAGCTGAACAAGTTGCTTTTGAAACATCACCCTAAACATTTGAGAATATTTTGAAAGTAAAACCACCTGCAAGTTAGGAGCAATAGCTCCATTCAAAAAAACAAAAAACAAACCAAAACAAACAAAAGAAAATAACAAAAAATAAAACCCTAAGCTCTCCCTTTCCTTCACACGAAACGCGTAGGCTGATTTTTACCTGTCACTTACGCTGAGCGGAGGGGGGGGGGGTCAAAGGGAGGGCGCAACGGCCTCAGCCCGCTGCGGCT